TAAACAATCGAATTCTGTGCTTCCATCAGACAGAATGGCATTGCCCCATTTGTTAGGAAATGGAAAGACTTGGAAAAAGTCCTATATTAAGTGAAGTAAACCAGTCACAAAGAAACATACATCCCTTTGTTTCCCCTATTTGCAATAATTAGTATACATGTAGGATACACTTAGCTCAATAGCTATGTACACATGACCATATAAGATGATGCTAAACAAAATGAACTCTAAGACCTGGACACAAGGGTTTTTTCTTTGTTGTTGTTTTTAATGTACTGTGTCATTTTTTGTTTCTTTTGTATGTTCTTCACCTTCTGGTATATTTTCTGTTTTCACTGTATTTGATTTTGAGACCCTAGTATTGTATATATGTTTATGTGAGTTAAGGAAGGGAAGGGGAAGAACAGACTAGTGAGTCAAAGAACCAGTGCAGCTATGATACACACAAGACAGTATGTTGGAAATCATCTGTACAACTTGGGGATGGGGAGAGCGTGTGTGTGGAGATAGGAGGAAAATGAGGGAAGGGGTAACAAGTTTGACAAGAAAAGTATTTATTACCTTACCTGTGTAACTGTAACCCCTCTGCATATCATTTTGACAATAGAAAAAAGATAAAGAAAAGGAAATGTGAATTATGATTTCAGTGGTGAATAATTTTAAACTTATTGGTATAAAGAGGGTCTTGGAAACCAAAACTGGATCAGTGAAGACCTTGGCAAGTGGGAGTAGAGACAAAAGAAACATCCAGAAAATGTAATATTAGCTGACTCAATATCAAGCACATTACAATCTCTTTAGAAAATGTCCTAGAATATGCTTAGTGCATAGACATTGGGAAACTTCTGTCTTCTTCCCAGTACGTCAACCCAGAACTGGTGGAGTTAAGGCTCAGAGGTCACTATAGCAACTATTTTCTGGAATTTTAAATATTTTTCTCTCACCTATGGAGAGCTGATTTAGCTCAGAGGAGACTGAGGGCTTTAGCTCCATGTGGTGGGAAACTGGAATCATAGAACAGAGTGGAAGTCACCTCCCATCCAGCAGAGATCTGGAAGGCAGAAATCTGAAGTCTCACTCCCTGAGATGTGTGGTAGACTTATCGAAACAAACACTTTGACTGGTTAGTAGGTTGAAAACAAAGAAATATTCAACTCTTTCCCAATTCTCAGTTGTTTACTACTTCTCTTCTAAAGTTTATTTTTTCAAGTATTTTTTCTTTAACCTGTGTCCTATTACCTTTGAACAATGTCATTAAGTATTTTCTACATTGTTAATTTAATGGTCATGAATGCCTGTATTTTATGCTTCTCTGCTTCCCAAAAACTTTTTAGGAATTTGTTTTGGTGTTTTTTTCATGTAATAAGCTTCTTTAAGAAAATTATCTTTAAGTAGTTGTTCGAAGGGATTAGCATTTGTCATGTCGACACAACACATCTGGTCAACATCACTTCTCTCACATCATCATTCTCTCACAGCCCTCCTCTCAAATTTTCGTTTTATGAGATATGCATTAAATATTACAACTGCATTGACTCTCATCTAATCACTTCTCCAGGGTATATGGGGAAACCATTGCTCCGGCAGTAAGGCTAAGAATGTTCTAAGCAAACATATGGATGTTTCAGGAAAGGTAAACTCAGGACTACATTGTATGCTTGAGATGTTTCAAAGGCAATGCTACCCTTTTCCAATTCATCCCAACTCATGAGTTATGGAAGCCTTAGCACATTGATGGTCTCTACTCATGGTTTATCATCTTCTGATTTACCTACCACTTTCACTGGAATCTTTATTGTCATCTGACCAATAATTTATCTATTGAAAGAGCTTAAAGATTTGTTTTGTTTTAAGGTTACTAAATTTTTTCTTTATATGAACCCCTTCAAAACCATAACCTGAGACAAAATTCAGGCATAGGTTTTGTTTGTCAGAGGTGCTCCCACTGAGGAAGAACATAGAGCATGCAAGAGAACAAAATAAAAACTTGATACCAGTGCCTGTAGAAAGCCTTCCACAAATAAGAACATTTGATGCATCCATTAATCTATACTTCCCTTATAATAATTTTGGGTTTATTTAGCATAGGTTTTGAGGCTTTGGTGACTTTGAAGAACTGAGTCTGAAATTTTGCAGATGTGTGGTGCTATTGTAGTAGGATAATATCAGCATGAGGTAAAACTTCAATATAGCTAAACAGGTGTGAATAGAAACTCAACAAAAATATCTTCAAAGAATAGTTTTTTGGTGCCAGTTCTGTGGCTTGAACTTGAGTCTTGAGTAGCTAGGATTACAGGCATGAGCCACTGGCACCTGACCAATAATAGATTTTAATTACACTATCATTTATAATCGTAAATTAAATAATCACAAAACTACTTCACTTCAGTAAAATTGTAAGATTAGTTTTCTAACTAGTTAATATGGTATTGGTAACAAATTGCTCTAAATGGTTATAGTATGTAATGGTGGTTGTATAAAATAAATGAAATAGTTATCCTTAAAATGTGAGGCAGAGGGTCCGGGAAGGTGGCTCAGTGGTAGAGCACTTGCTTTGCATGCCTGAGGCCTTGGGTTCGATTCCTCAGCACCATGTAAGCAAAAAAAGAAAAAAGCTGGAAGTGGCGCTGTGGCTCAAGTGGTAGAGCGCTAGCCTTGAGCCGAATAGCTGAGGGACAGCGCCCAGGCCCAGAGTTCAGGCCCCACAACCAGACTCCAAAAGAAAAAAATGTGAGGCAGAAGAAATTGCTGTGTCCAAGTTGGACAAAATCATTTGGTATAGGACTGGCAATTTGGCTTAGTGGTAGAGTGCTTAACTAGTATGTGTGAGGCCCTAGGATCAATCCCTGGGTGACATATAAATAAAATCATTTGGCGTGGAAGAATGATCTGTTGTATATTCCTTGAAGCAGACATTACTGAAGCATTATAAATTAATTCAATTTGATAACGTAAATCCCTGCTTTATTTAAAAATGGACTCCCTCACATTAACTTTACATAGTGGGAATGAATTTGGTAATTTGTATATAGTATATATAAAGTGTTATGTGTAAATGACAAGCAGCTAATAAATACAGATGCAAAAGAAGTTTTGAAGCAAAAGAAGTACTATGCCAGATTAACCTTTGAATATGAGAAAGGTTAGTATACACATGGTTTATAAAGAATACAACTTCTGTTTAACAGTTTTATGTTTGGGTAGTAGTTGAAGATAATAGAGAATATGTGAGGGCAAGGGCTATCCCATAAATCATCCATTGAGGAGACTTCTACTTGCATCCTTATAAGTAGTTCATGTCTTCAAATACACAAAAAAGCAATTTGAAGCTCAATCTTTTATTTGTCATTATAAAGTTCTAATTCTAGAAACAGTTGTTAAATGCTTGGATTTCTTTCTGTAAAGTAGCAGCAAGCTAATGTATGAGGTGAAAGATTCCCTGGGATACAAACAGTAGATTATACATACATACATACATACATATATATATATATGTATATATATATATATGTATATGTATATGTATCATTTAAGTTAGTCATTGCTTTGAAGGTGATTACAGCAGAAATCACATTCAACTAACCACTGCTACACATTATTTGGTCAACATATTTTCACTACCTCTCTTGATCTCAGTCAGATATTAAATGATGGTTCAATGAATAAACTTTAGGTATCAAAAACGAAACAACAATTTAAATATGCATATAAACATCAGAATTAAATTGAAAATTGATGAAGTTGTGAATTAAAGCATTTTGCTAATGGAAGTCTGTAAGACAGGATTCACATTTAATTCACTTTGCTTCTGTTAAATACATAAACAAACAGAAAGAACCTCCCTCAATATACCCCATCTCATTTGCAATGGGAGCTCTCAGAAATTTTTCCCCTACATGCAGAAAACTTCCTTGGTTCTTCTTGCAAGGAATATCACATAGAGATTCATTGCACTGTGAGACAAGGAAATTCTTGCAGGCTATAATGGTATCTCTGCATATAGTATCTGATATTCCTGTTGTCTTATACACTTGTAATTATCCTTGAAAGGATTGTTCACCAGTGATTCAAACACTTACATTAAAAATCATTCCATACATTAAAGAAGAAAAAAAATAGAGAGATAGCTAAAATAATTATTATCTGTGTGACACAGGTAAAATGAAAATATACCTAAATAAAATATGCCCCAAAATATGTCACTTGATATTGTTTGAAGTAAAATATGTGAAGAGCTGATTAATATTTGATCTTCCACAATTGTCTTTATCTTTATCTATATTGATCATAAAAAATAACTATGAAATTCCTCAACCAGTTTAGGTGATCTCTGACCTACCATCTCAGCTACAGCTATTTCTGTTCTTAAAAACATTATATACATATATATAATTATATATAGGTGTATATATATGTATACCCATGTATATGTATATGTATACATGGGTATACATATATATACACACACACATACATATTCCCATTATAACTAGCATTATATATATGCTTATATATATGAATATATTGAAAATATAAACATATAAATCCGTTCTCTAAAATGGAAATATACCAATAGAGAACATGATTAATATTATTATTCAAAAAGCAAATGACTGATTTTGTATCTTTATATATTCTCCTTAATTAGAAAGTTAATCTCTTTAACCTTTCAGAAGCTTAGCTACATATGAATTTTCTTCAGAAAATGTAATTATTTGAATAAGGCTAACCTATCATATAGTAGGCAATTTCAAGACTGAAACAGTTTCTAAACAAAATTATTGAATTTTCCTGAAAAGTTTTTTTTACTTATATTGGTGGTTAATGAATTTAGTTCCTAAACAAAGGAACAAAATTGGTGAATAACTAGTTAATTATTCATAGTAAATTATTTTTTATTTGTTTTATTAATGGGATTTCAGTTCCAAAGACTTTCCTTAGTGCAGCTTGAATCTCCTTGTTCCTTAGACTGTAAATAAGAGGATTACAGAGGGGTGTTATCACAGAATAAAATAAAGTAATAATTTTTGTACTTCAACTGGGTGTTTAGATCCAGGACTGACATACATCACCATAATAGATCCATAAAAGATGCTGACAACTGCCAGATGAGAAGCACAAGTAGAGAAGGCCTTGTGTTTGCTAGCTGCTGAGGACATCCTTAACACAGCCAGAATCACCAGAGCATAAGAACAAAGGACAAAGAGGAAAGTACCAATCATGAAGATGACATTGAAAGTAGAGTAAATGAACTGTGTGGTGGAGTCTTCAGAACAGGACAGCATCATCAATGGAACAGGATCACACACGAAATGGTTGATGACATTTGGGCCACAATAAGGCAAGTGTGAAATAAGAACAGCTGGAGTTATGAACAAAATTAACCCACCTGTCCATCCAAAGATGACCAGACCAGTGCATAACCTCCTCGTCATGATCTGTGGGTAGTGCAGAGGGCAGCAGATGGCAAGGTACCTGTCAAAGGCCATGATGCAAAGGTAGAAGCCCTCATCACACCCAAAGGAGAAGAAGAAGTAGAACTGTGCAAAACAACTGACAAAGGAAATAGACTTTGTTGTGGAGAGGAAGTTGACCAACATGTTCGGGACAGTTGTGGTGACATAGCATATTTCCAGGAGAGAGAAATTCCCCAGGAAGATGTACATGGGAGTGTGAATACACCGGTCTGTCCACACAGCACAGGCAATGGCTGTGTTCCCCATCAGTGTCAGTGTGTAGGTTACAGCAAAGAGCCCAAAGTAGAGGAGCTGTATTTGTGGGCTTGAGGGAAAACCCATAAGGATAAAGTAACTAACAGGGTTCTTGTTTCCTGTGTTGGACATATTCATTGTTCTGGAAGACATGAAGATGAGCATGGTCATTAAATTTAAGGCAAAAAGATAGTCAATTTACAGTTTCATAATGATATGAAATATGATATGATAATGATATGAACAGTGACATTTATTTCTTTTTTCTTTTTTTCTTTTTGGTCGGTCGTGGGGCTTGAACTCTGGGCTTGGGCGCTGTCCTCAGCTCTTCAGCTCAAGGCGAGCACGCTACCGCTTGAGCCACAGGGCTACTTCCCAGTGCCATTTCTTTAATTGAAGAGTATGAATTCATTTTGGAATGATTCAAATATAATACACAAGAAACATATTTGAGGACACAAGAAAAATGTAAGAAGGTATGCATAATGTTCGTGATTCTAAGACCTTATTATATAAGCTTGCACAATTTATGTCCTTAATACATATCAATCAGGACATGTGAAATTCTTTTAAGTTTCACAAACCTATAACTCATCACAGTTGTTAATGTTGATAATAATGACCTTAAATGAAGTACTACTCCCATTATGACATTTCAAAATTCCAGTCTTAGAGAGACAAAATAAATGGCTCACAGAACATTCTTCTTTATACCATCTTATTGTAGTGTGTAACGCTCTGATATAGGATACATAAATTGTATAAAATCATGCCCAGTTCATGTTTGGTATATAAAAATGCTTCCTCTGTATCCTCCTGAATTCTACTTCCTAGCCTGGAAAGTCAGTGGTAGAAAATTTTGTTCCATTTCTGTGTGAATAAAAAAATGAATGTTGTACTATGTCAACTGACCTTAAGGATTTTACTTCTTTTGATTGTTAACCCCTTGAAATGCACAATTTTGTCAGGGAAAAATTGTGAAATGCATAAAATTCTGTGTGTATGTGTTTGGTGCAGATGTGACTAAGTAGTTTTCCATGATTTCTTTGGGCCTAATTTCTGTCTTTTGTTTCTTTAAAAAAAAACTTAAGGATGTCTTATTTTCTAAAAGAAAAAAAATGTGTACCTATACTAGGGCTTCAACACAGGGTCAGGGCTCACATGTGCCTTTTAGTTTTTTTATTCAAGGTTGACATTCTGTTATTAGAGCCACAGCTCTACTTTTGGATTTATTTATTTATTTTGCCAGTCCTGGGTTTTGAAATCAGGGCCTGGGCATTGACCCTGAGCACACTACCATTTGAGCTACAATGCCACTTCTGGCTGTTTCTGAGTAGTTTATTGGAGATGAGTCTTATGGACTTTCCTGTTCCAGCTAGCTTTGAACCTTGATCTTCAGATGTTAGCCTCCAGAGTAGTTAGTATTACAGGCGTGGGCCACTGGTGCCTGGTTTACTTCTGGATTTTTGGTGGTTAATTGGATATATTAGTCTCACTGACTTTCCTGCCAAGATGGATTGGTACTTTGATCCACAGATCTTATCTAGGATTACAGTTGTAATCAAGTGCTTGGCAGTACTCACCACAGGCATTTTCTACCAACACACTCTTAACACCTGTGCTATCTTGCTACACTCCCTTGTGCTGTCCCTCACTTTGTGTTAGACTGAAATGAAGCTTAAGTGTAATATGCTATTCCCTTGAAAATCCTGCATTAGCCCTCATATTTTGCACATAAAGTATTAAGACTGCTGTTTCCATAGCTTCTCCTTATATTTGTCTGCCTGCATCTTTGTTTTCAAGCAACTCCAACTCTAATATATTAAAAATTTTGTTTCTACAGTAGACACAGACTTATTTCCTTTTTTTTTTAAATTTTATTTTATTTTATTTGAGAACATACTGTACAGAGGGGTTACAATTACATGGGCAGGAAAATGCATACATTTCTTACCAAGCATTGCAGCCTCCTCCTTTGTTTACCCTTCACCTCCCTTCCCAGCCTCCCCCCTCCCCCCCACCAGATCATACCCCCCCGCTCCCCCCCAACCGACATTGTAAAGCTGGTTTTGACATGACATTTTGTACTTCTCATTGTTGCAACAGGTCCACCTGAATCCTTAAACGACTTGTTTGTCCCCGTCTCCTCCACATGTTATACTGACATCAAATATAGTGAAAGCGGGGGTTACACTGTGGGGGAGGGACATACAAAGCAACAAAGAAATAATATTATAAATGCGTTAGAAACACATGCATGAAAGAAACAAAAACATTAAAATACATATTTGAGGGTTCGTTTTCCTAACATCACATTCTCTGACTTTTTCCACTTGACTCATACCTATACTAGATATTGCAAATAAGGGAAACCATGGGACCTATGTTTCTTTGGGCCTGGCTTACTTCACTTAATATAATTTTTTCCAAGCCTTTCCATTTCCTAACAAATGGGGAAATGTCATTCTTTCTGATGGAGGCATAGAATTCCATTGTGTATATATACCACATCTTCTTGATCCATTCATCTACTGAGGGGCATCTGGGTTGGTTCCATATCTTAGCTATGGTAAATAATGCTGCAATAAACATAGTTGTGCTGGTAGCTTTAGTGTGGCCTTGTTTGTGATCATTTGGGTAAATGCCCAAAAGTGGGATTGCTGGGTCATTGGGGAGCTCTATGTGGAGTCTTTTGAGGAACCTCCATACTGCTTTCCAAAGTGGTTGAACAAGTTTACATTCCCACCAACAATGAAGTAAGGTTCCTTTCTGTCCACATCCCCTCCAGCATCTGTTGTTGTTAGAGTTCTTGATTTTTGCTGTTCTAACTGGAGTGAGGTGATATCTCAATGTTGTTTTGATTTGCATTTCTTTTATGGCTAGGGATGTTGAACATTTCTTCATGTGTCTATTGGCCATCCTTCTTTTTTCTTCAGAGAAGCTTCTCTTTAAGTCTTTCACCCACTTACTTATTGGGCAGTTGTTTCTTTGAGGATTTGTTGTTGGGTGGTTTAATTTTTTGAGTTCCAAGTATATTTTAGATATGAGACCCTTGTCCGTTGTATGGCTAGTAACGATCTTCTCCCAATCCGTGGGCTTTCTATTGATCTTGCTAGCTATGTCATTTGCCCTGCCGAAGCTCTGCAACCTTATACAATCCCATTTGTCCAACCTTTCTTTGATTTGTTGTGTTTCCGGGTCTCTATTCAGAAAATTTCGGCCTGAGCCGGGGAGACCCAGGGTTTCTCCTATTCCATCTTGTAATGTTTTCAGAGTGTCTGCTTTGAGTTCAAGGTCTTTGATCCATTTGGAGTTGATTCTGGTGCAGGGTGATATATAAGGATCTAGCTTTAGTTTTCTACATGTAGTTAACCAGTTTTGCCAGCACCATTTACTGAAGAGGCTGTCTGTCTTCCATTCTATTGTTTTAGCTCCCTTATCGAAGATTAGATGGCTATAGGTCTGTAGGTTCATTACTGGGTTTTCAATTCTATTCCATTGGTCCTGAGGTCTGTTCTTATGCCAATACCAAGCTGTTTTGATTACTATGGCTTTATAGTAGAGTTTGAAATTTGGTATTGATATTCCTCCAGCAGTGTTCTTTCCGTTGAGGAGCGTTTTTGCTATTCGGGGTCTTTTATTGTTCCATATGAATTTTTGGATTGCCTCTTCTATTTCCTTGAAGAATGAGGGTGGAATTTTGATAGGTATTGCGTTGAATTTGTAGATAGCCTTGGGAAGTATTGCCATTTTCACGATGTTAATCTTTCCAATCCAGGAGCATGGGAGGTTTTGCCATTTTTTAAGTTCTGTGTTGATTTCCTTTTTCAAGATTTTAAAGTTTTCATCATAGAGGTCCTTCACTTCTTTAGTTAAGTTAATTCCTAGGTATTTTATTTTTTGTGGGGCTATTACAAATGGAGTTGCTTTCCTAATTTCAGCCACACTTTTCTCATTGTTGGCATACAGAAAAGCCATTGATTTTTGGGGGTTAATTTTATAACCTGCTACTTTGCCAAAGTTTTGAATCAGCTTGAGTAATTTGGGAGTGGAGTCTATGGGATTCTTTAAATACAAGATCATGTCATCTGCAAAGAGGGAGAGTTTTATTTCTTCTTTCCCTATTTAGATCCCCTTGATATCTGCATCTTGTCTTATTGCTGTAGCTAGGTATTCTAATACTAGATTGAAGAGAAGTGGAGAGAGTGGGCATCCTTGTCTTGTTCCTGAGTTAAGAGGAAATGGCTTTAGTTTTTCACCATTGAGTATAATGCTGGCTGTAGGTTTGTCATATACAGCCTTTATTGTATTGAGGAATGTTCCATGGATTCCTAATTTTTCCAAAACCTTCATCAGGAAGGGGTGTTGAATCTTGTCGAATGCTTTTTCTGCATCTATTGAGATAACCATGTGGTTCTTATTTTTGCTCCTGTTGATGTGATGAATAATATTAATTGATTTGCGTATATTGAACCAGCTTTGCATCCCTGAAATGAATCCTGTTTGATCGTGGTGTATGATTTTTTGGATGAATTGTTGAAGTCGGTTGGCCAAAATTTTGTTGAGAAGTTTTGCATCAATGTTCATCAAAGAAATGGGTCTATAGTTCTCTTTCTTTGATGAGTCCCTGCCTGGTTTTGGGATGAGGGTTATGATGGCTTCACAGAATGTGTTCGGTAGTGAGCTTTCTCTTTCAATTTCATTGAAGAGTTGGAGGAGTATTGGTGTGAGCTCTGCTTTGAAGGCCTTGTAAAATTCCGCTGTAAAACCATCTGGTCCTGGACTTTTCTTAGCTGGGAGGTCTCTTATTGCTGTTTCTATTTCAATGCTTGATATGGGCCTGTTAAGATAGTTTAACTCATCTTGGTTTAGTTTTGGCATGTCAATATTTGCTATTAAGAGGTCCATTTCTGTCAAGTTCTCAAACTTATTAGCATACAGATTTGAGAAGTATTCCCTTATAATGTTCTGAATCTTGGTTGTTTCCGTGGTGATGTTTCCATTCTCATCTCTGAGTTTATTAATTTGGGTGTGTTCTCTTCTTTTTCTGATAAGATTTGCTAAGGGTCTGTCAATTTTGTTAAGTT